CTCCTTCTTTCTCCTCTCGCCAGACAGGAAGAACCAGCAAACATACAGCTGCCTCTCAGCAGAGTGATGAGGCCCTGAGTGGCCTTCTTTCCGGAGCCAGAGGAACATCTGGTAGCTCAATTACCAGGCAGTCCTTCTCATAGGGCTCTCCTTTGGGGGCCTCACAGCACTCAGGGGCTGGGAACAAGTCTTTCCTCCCCGCCAGCACGCGAGACAGGAAGCAGGCCTTCCTTCAGGTTGCCTGGCTCAGCTTCCTGTTCACACAACAGAGTGAAGGAAGAACAGGTGATGGAAAAACGCTAATAAGGAAAAGAACAAAAACAAGAACGAGTGTGGAAATAACACGATGCTGTAAAGTTTTAGTTCATAAGAAATGTAGCCTTGGCTGACAATGATCATTTTTTCACCTGCCAAATGTTGGCCAAGTCCTTCAGAAGCTTCGCCCAACAGGGTGGGAGGGTTATTGCTGGAGTCCAGAGTGGTGATACCTAGAAGACCCAGCAGACAGGACACTATGACACCACCATCCGAAAGAGGCCTGCAAGGGTTTGGTCTCTGTAGGGTGCCTGCGTTGGGCATGGCCAGAGAAGTAACATAGCTCACTGGGTGACATTGACCTCACAGGTCCCTGTGCTCTATGGATGCTAACTAAAGCATAGCTTTAACACATCTGAACTGGTATTTAAGGTGGCAATAATGAATAGACAAATCAATACTGTTGAAGAAATGCTCCTAAACAATTTCTTCTATTTTTTTTGTTGTTGTTGCTTGTGCTCTAGGTGACAGATCTAAAATCCCATTGCCAATCTAAGGTTAAGGGGATTTATGCCTATGTTTTCTACAAAGACTTTTATAATTTTAGAGTATACATTTAGAGTGTTGATTCATTTTTCCAGTTAAGTTTTGCATATGGTATAAAGTAGGAGTCTAATCTCCCTCTTTTGCATGTGGTTATCCAGTTGTCCCAGGGCTACTGGTAGAAAAGACCATTTTTCTCCCATTGAATTGTCTTGGCACCCTTGTCAAAAGTCAGTTAACTGTGAATGTCCGTTTAGCTCTAGACTCTCGGGTCTGTTCTGATGATCTCTGCATCTGTTCTTATGCCAATACCACACTATCATGAGTTTTACAGTTTTGTAGTAAGTTATGAAATTGAAAGAGTGACTCTTCCAAACCTGTTCTTTTCCAAGATTGTATTTGCCATTCTGGGTCTCTTGAATTATCGTATGAATTTTAGGATCAGCTTGTTCTTATCTGCAAAAAGGCAGCTAGGATTTTGATAGGAATTGCATTGAACCTGTAGATCAATTTGGTGATATTGAAAAAATATTTTTAGATTAGCAAAGAAATAAGGTTAGCACCTCCTGAGCTCTGGCACTTGAAGTCAGCGTGGCTTTGGGTCTCTCACATCTGCCAGAATCTGACTCTCACATCTCGTAGAAAAAAATAAAACCTACCCCAGAGGTTGCCAAATAAATGAGACAATCTAAATGAAAGCATTGTGAAAACTATAAGGTATTGGGAAAATCAGAGGTGTTGTTGAATCTGTTTGGGTAGGAAGTAATTAATTCAGTCTTTCAATTGAATTTTTGATGGAATTTGTATGCTGTGCTTATAAACTGATATAAGTGAATTAGAACTGACACATTAAAACAAGTATTTATTGTCCCTCTCAAGCTGGTCATCTTGCAAAATTATATATTTATTCTAACAATGCTACATTTGCTTGAAATATTTTTCACTTATTTTTTCACATTTCTTCTTTTTAAATTTAGTATTTAATTGAATTGAACACACATATTTCAAAATTAATCAAAACATAAAAGTTACATTCATAGGGATCAAATTTATATACCTAAATATGTCTGTGTTTATATACTTGTTTGGGAAACAAGAAACTGATATAATGAAAAATAAAAATAATTGTATAATTCTTGCCATAATAATATAAATGCTTTCCTGATCTAACCAAGCTTATTGAATTAAAGTTATTATAATTTTATGTTAGCCATTCATACTTAGATTGAAAATTGTATAATAATATCCATCGCATTACTTTGAATATCCTCAGTAATGGCAAATTATTACAAATTGTTGTTTTTGAAAGCAAATTTGATTTCTTGGAATGATCAGAAGTCAGTTGGACCCAAGTCGGATGGCTCAGTAAAGGCAGTGATCAGCCTGAATAATGTTTTTCTTGAAACTGCATTGTTATTACTAATAATTTTTTCTTTAAACTGTCGTTTATGTGTTTTAATTAATTAACTTATTTTGTAGAAATTGGGTCTTGCTATGTTTCCTGTGCTGGTCTTGAACTCCTAGGCTCAAACGATCCTTTTCCCTTTGCCTCCCAAAGTGCTGGGATTATAGGCATGAGTCACTGCACCCAGCCATAAACTTATGTGTTTAAATAACAGTTATCCTACAAAGATGTGCCTGGCCCAGGCAGTAATGTACTTGTAATCTGATAACCTGATTGAGAAAATAATCAGGTTCTCCCACCAGGTCGCTCCCTCAACACCTGGAGATTACAATTCAAGATGAGATTTTGGTGGGAACGCAAGGCTAACCATATCATTGGGCATATTGATTACTTAGAGCTGAAAGTACTTGAGAAACAGTAGTTGCAGAAAAGTCTACAGACTTGCACTTTCCTATAGGTAGCAAGCCGTAAAAACTCCTTTATGAAAGATGCCTTCCCTGTACCAGGACAAGAAAAATAACCCTTAGCACCAGAGACTGGGAATTGACGCTGCGATGGATCTGTATGAATAAACCTACTAAAATAGCTGTCTTAAAATGTTTTACCCCCCCACACACACACACAAAAAAAACACATCTCCTGATGATTCCCTGCCCTTGTCATTTCTTCACAAATTTATCAGTTTTGTTTTTGTTTTTATTTTTATCTAAAAGGCATAAAATCTTTCTGCTTTGTCCGTTTCTTTGGGTCTTCGCTGTCTTGTAAGAGACTCCATGAACATGTAAAAATTAATAAAATGTGTATGCTTTTCTCCTGTTAATATGTCTTGGGTCAATTTAATTCTTAGACCCAGCCAAAGATCAAGGGGGCAAAGGAGAATGTATCCTTTTCCCCTACTCTAGTTTCCAATAGGAACCAATCATTGTGAATACCCAACATGGCTTCAGTCAGTTCAGCACACCTGCCAACCCTAGTAGATGGGAGAGGAGTCAGATTTCACTTGATTTTGAAAATTAAAAGAACATGACATTTCTTTCTCATGAGGACCAGGGATCAAATGCATGACTGTTACACCTTTATTCTGTCAACGCTGCCAATGCCAACACATGGAGGTCCTCTTTTCCAATCATTGTTGGAGAAAAGTCAGTCTTTTTAATAGTTACACCTGGCATGCTACAGCTGTACCTTATTGGAATCATGTATCTATAATCTCAGCAAAAGGGGCTGAGAGCACCTGCCTAGAAGTAGGGAGAGAAGTCTCACATTTTCTTCTACGTTTCAGGCAGTTCTCCATGTTTACCATGAGATACTCACTTATCTCTTCTTTTTTATTCAACTAACACATATAAAGCACCTACAGTGGGCCAGCCTTTTGTTAGGCCTTGTAAGAATTAGAAATGTGAATTAAATGTAAATCTTCAAACCACTAACTTCATAATCTGGTGAGAATGAAAGAAAAATGTGCAAACATCCTATAGTACAAACCAGAACATGATCATTTAAAAGTGGGATAAACATCGTGCCAGGGGAAGTGTGGCTGCAGGGATGATTAGGCTTTGGAGAGAAGGTTTAAGTGAGCCTTGAAGAATGAGAAGGAATTTGATGGAGAATGGAAGAAGAAGCTCCATGTGTAAGGAAAGTCGCAGAAGTAGGAAAACCCTCGTGTGTACAGAGAAGGGTGGCAGAAGGACACAGCAGAAGGCAAGACCAGAAAGCAGGTTTGGGACCATCTCAACTACAGTTTGTACCTTGCATGCACTAAGGAATCCTGCTACGTGGGCTGCGGGGGAATGAAACTCAGCCCTCCCTCAGCTCATCAGCCATGCTCCAACCACCCAGAGGAAGCAGTGTCTTTTCAAATTTACACAGAGACACAATAGGGGCTAATAGAGCCTTATTCTTTCTGAGACAAAATCTCGCTCTGTCGCCCAGACTGGAGTGCAGTGGCATGATCACAGCTCACTGCAGCCTTGACCTGTGGGACTTAAGTGATCCTCCCACCTCAACCTCCCAAGTAGCTGGGACTACAGGTGCATGCCTTCACACCTGGCTAATTAAAAAAAAATTTTGGTAGCGCCAAGGTTTCACTATGCTGCCCCAGCTGGTCTGGAACTCCTGGCCTCAAGCAATCCTCTCACCTCAGCCTCCCAAACTGTTGGGATTACAGGCGTGAGCCTCCACACCTGCTCTGGAGTCTCATTCTTGATGGTCCTGAATAGCATGCCAAGGAGTCTGGGATTTGTTGTGTAGGCTACGGGAAGCCCTTGAGGATTTCTGTGGAGGTTTGGAGAGTAAAAAATAATGTGACTAATGAGAATAATACACAGATGGGTATTAATCACACTTTCCTTTGTTGCTCACTCTATTTCAAGTATATTCTCACATATTCACAAAGGCCTCTGAATGGTAAATTTTTCTAATATAAGAGCAAATCAATGACCTAACAGATGAATTTAAGAGCCCATGTTGAATGCAGACCTAAAGCCCAGGTCTCTAGACTTTCAGACTAAAAAAGTCAAAGTCAGTGAGACTGAAATTTGAATTGTCATTGCCAGGGGCTGAGGGGATGCAAGAATGGGAAGTTATTATTGTTTAATGGATACAGCGTTTTAATTTTGTAAGAAGAAAAGATATATGGAGATGAATGGTAGAGGTGGCTACACAACACGATGAAGGTATTTAATAGTTTTTTATTGTTTGGGGCTTTTTTATGTTGGCCCCCTGTAAGGATCACTAATGCAGTATTCAAGTGGAAGAAAGTGCAAAATAAAACAGACACACGCACACACACAAAATCTAAGAGTGAAAAAAACTCTTATTTCCCCCTTTTTTTTTTTTAAGACATTCTACATTTTCCGCTTATAACCAAAAACCCTTTAGACCTTCTAATAAGATAAAGTTAAAACTGTAAACCGTTAGTACGTAGTTTACCCAAATAAGTCCATGATTATAAGCAAAAATGTCAGCCACCTTCACCCCCTTACAAAGGCTGATGTATTCCCATTTGTCTCAGTGCTAAATCATGTAGCATTTGTTCAATGGTCATTAAAAGCTGTATGCCCTCAAGAAACAACGTCTTGGGCTCTTCTGGGTACAGACCAAGTTTCCACTGCCATAAACACTTAAAGGAGGACCAGTTCCAATGCTAGCACTGTCCTGGTGGTGGCTCTCCCACCTCTGGCTGCGAAGCTTCATCACTGTTTGTGTGGGTCTGGGCACAGAGGAAGGCAAGGGTTGCAGGTCCAACAGCTAGCATGGCATTGCGGGAAGGGTGGAGGAGGCCCTAGAAGGAAATTTTGAAATTGTCAGATACAAAAAGTGGAAAGAAACTTAGTGTTTCTTTTTTTTTCTTTTTAAACTTTTATTCTAGGTACAGGGTACATGTGCAGGCTTGTTATATAGGTAAACTCATGTCATGCAGGTTTGTTGTACAGATTATTTTGTCACCCAGGTACTTAAGCCTAGTACCCAATAGTTATTTTTTCTAATCCTCTCCCTCCTTCCACCCTCCGCCCTCAAAGAAACCCAAGTGTCTGTTGTTTCCTTCTTGGTGAACACAGAAACTTAGTGTTTCTTTAAGGACGTCGTTAGGTTTCTGTAAGGAGGCAGGAAAGGCTGAAGTCATGCTGTAAATTATGAGGTTCCTGTTTTCCATTCCACTACTTTTTCTACCACCCTATTCCGCCTCACTAAATATGTGCTAATCTATCTCATTTGTGGATTTGTATATTTATTATTTATTTTTCAATTATTATCCTCCCCTATATGAGCGTTTTAAAAGCATTTTTGAGAGATACATCACATAGCGTAAAATCCACCATGTTAAAGTGTACACGTCAGTGGATTTTAGTACATTCACTATATTGTACAACTGTTACCACTTTGTAATTCCAGAACATTTTCTTCACCCCAAAAAGAAACCAGTATGCTAAATGAAATAAGCCAGCCACAAAAAGATAAATACATACTGTATGATTCTCCTTATATGAGGGGAGTTGTTAAAGTCAGTGAGACAGAAAGTTGAATTGTGGTCGCCAAGGGCTTCAGGGAAGGAAGAATGGAGAGTTGTTTAATGGACACAGAATTTCAATTTCTAAGAAGGAAAAAGACATGGATATGGCTGGTGGAGATGGCTACATATATTAGGAAAGCATTTAATACCACTGAAGTGTATGCTTAAATGGTTAAGATAGTAAATTGCGTGTTTTGTGTTTTGTGGTTACCACAATAAAAATAATTTTGGTAAACACCACAATGAAAAAAATTGGGAAAGGAATCTCTATAGGTATCTTGTAAATAGCAATATATTATTGAATCATTTGTGCTAATAGTTTTCACTTGTTAAATGTAAACTTTTTTTTTTCTTTTTTTTTTGAGATGGAGTTTCGCGGTTGTTACCCAGGCTGGAGTGCAATGGCGCGATCTTGGCTCACCGCAACCTCCACCTCCTGGGTTCAGGCAATTCCCCTGCCTCAGCCTCCCGAGTAGCTGGGATTACAGGCACGTGCCACCATGCCCAGCTAATTTTTGTATTTTTAGTAGAGACGGGGTTTTACCATGTTGACCAGAATGGTCTCGCTCTCTTGACCTCGTGATCCACCCGCCTCGGCCTCCCAAAGTGCTGGGATTATAGGCTTGAGCCACCGCGCCCGGCCTGTAAACATTTAAAATACACCAAGTATTAAGAAAAAAAAAAGGAGCCCATACCAGTTAGCAGTTATTCTCTATTCTCACCTTCCTCCAGCTTCTGGCAGCCACTAATCCACTTTCTGTTTCGATTTGCTTACTGGGGACCTTTTATACAAATGGAATCGTACAATAACATGACCTTTTGTGTCTGGCTTCTGTCACTTAGCATAGTGTTCTCAACATAATGTAGCATGTATCAGTACTTCATCCCTTTTATGGCAACATATGTGGGCTTTTCAAAGTGGATTCCAGGCTCAGAGATGAGTCTTTCCCTCTGAAGGCTTTCTCCTGAAAGTAGAGCTTGGGCATAGCTGAGCTGGGGAGCACACAGGCCTAGGAGGCCTCACTGTACACAACTCGCCACGTGGCCCAAATGTTTTGCCTCTGTATGGGCTCCCTTTTCCCTCTTCAGCGTGAGAAGACCCATAACAGGAGGCCCTGCTCTCAAACTCAGCTGGGATACTATGACCCCTGGTCAGGTCTTTAGTAGTGATGCAACTCACAGGTGTCATAGTGCCAATGGCCACTCTGTAACTGGTTCTTTTGTTTCTATATAAGCATGTACCACAGAGGAGAAATTCTGCTAGATATTCTGCTAATTGCAACTGAATGTAGCCTGTGATAACCAAAACCCACTCTTCTGAAGCACGGTTCACTTTGGAACATACTCTGTTGCACATGCCGCTTGGAATCAGAGGTAAACCAGACCCATTTGAGCTACCTAATGTACTGCTTTGCTGAAGAGCCTGGGGGAGCTTGGTGGTGGGTCATGTGAGGAGGATGGGCCACTGCTCGATTGCAGCAGGAAGTTGCTGTGCTTTCCTTGTTTTATAAATGTTCCCGGATATGGAGGCCGGGTAAAGCAGTGATCCTGTTGGACTAATTCTAGGTATACTATTATTTATCACAGTGTAAAGGGGTAAGAAAGATCACTTCATGTTTTAAAGCAGAAATCTCTTTTAGGAGGTTACACTGGGCGTTCAAAAGTTTTCTGTAATTTTCTTTCTTGCTTCTCTCTCTCTCTTTTTTTTTTTTTTTTAAGAGATGACGTCTCTCTCTATCACCCAGGCTGGAGTGCTGTGGCACAATCATGGCTCACTGTAACCTCGAACTCCTGGGCTCAAGTGATCCTCTCACCTCAGCCTCTCAAGTAGCTAGGACTACCAAGGCATGCCACCATGCACAGCTAAGTTTTGGTTTTTCAAAAAAATGTTAATAGTGGCAGGATCTCATTATGATGCCTAGGCTGGTTTGGAACTCCTGGCCTCCGGTGATCCTCCCGCCTTGGCCTCCATCAGCATTGGAATTACAGGCATGAGCCACTGTGCCTGACCAATTTTCTTTTTTATATGTGTTACTTTCTACAATTTCTTTGCTGGCTGACTTTGAAGATTCTTCCTTGGAATAGATGCGATGTTCAGGAAACAGGAAGGTTTTCCTCATCCAAGTTCATGGGCAATTTGATAGGTTTTCTTGGAGAGTTTAAGTAGAATTTAATTGTGAGTATTTGAGTGTTTGAGACAGGGAGGAAGGAGATGGCCAGAAGGGGTAGTCCCTACTTGATGGCAAGACATAATTAAAAGGAATGTTCCGCATTATTTTCTCTAAAACACAAAGTTCTACATGATTCTTATATGAACATGGGCTGAGAAAGCATGCTGTGTTGTGTAGCAGCATCTGGCTTCAAGAATTCATTGTAATGAGATCAACAAAACATGAATACTGCCAGCCACGCACTCAGTGGCACCCACTGTTGTCGGGCTGATATGCCTTCTCATTCTCACTTGCCTACCTCCATTTCTAAAATGCTTTTTTCAGCTTCCCTTGCAGCCAGGAAAAACATATGACATAGTTACACTTAGGAAGCTTTTGCTTTTCTGATAAAAGGGGAAAACATTCCCACTGTGACCCCTTTCTTCTCCTCTTCCTTCCTTGAAAGTGGTGTGATGCCTGGAGCCATGGCAGCCTTCTTGAGGCAATCATCTTGTTATGATAAGGAAAGGCCAAGAGAACCGTCGAAATGTTAGCCTCAGCATCACATCACTGAACTGATGAATCAGCACCATTGTTGTACTTTTAACCTTCATGTTGTTTGAAAAACATAAGCCCCTATCTGTGGAATTTATTTTTAGTCAGATTTTTGCTAACGGATATAATACATGGAAAAAACTTTGCTTTACTAGTACTTATTCTAATACTTCGATCTAAATATCCACCATGTCCTTCTTTGTCTCTCTCTTGTATATTTCAACACTGCCTCACGTCTGTATTTATTGTTCACATTTTTTTGTTTTGTTGTGTTGTGTTTATTTGTGTGTGTGTGTGTGTGTGTGTGTGTGTTTTGTTTGTTTTTGAGATGGAGTCTTTCTCTGTCTCCCAGGATGGACTGCAGTGGCAGCTCACCACAACCTCTGTCTCCTGGGTTCAACCAATTCTCCATCCTCAGCTTCCCAAGTATCTGGGATTACAGGTATGTGCCATCAGATTTTGAAAATGAAACTTTCATATAAATATATTT